GAATTCATAATTTACCTTTCGTATGAACTTCTTTATTTCTACTGAGTCAGTTGGTTTCACTTCAATTTCGTCGAATTCAGGAATAGTTAGTTTTTGTTGTTGGATTTCAGGTAGTTTAGGCAAATGGTCAATAATGTCCTGCATTTCATAAAGATATTCTTCATTTGTTTCATCTTTCGCACTACAGTCTAAATTACTTGTTAACAGTTCTTGCTTTATCTTCTGGATTTTTGTTTCAAAAGTATATGAAGAAGGAATGAAGTTTTTCATCTCTACTAACATTGACGTAGGATTCATAACTAACGAGTTTGGTGCTGTAGTTGTGGACAGAGTCCCACCGTTCGTGGCTTGAATTGTTGTTGTGCCGATTGTTGTTGTGCTGATTGTTGACATTTCTCTTCTACATACAAAATAAAAAAATAAAAATAAAACTAATTTTATTTATTCTATCTTAAGGAAATTTACGAAGAAATCATGAAAATTCATGAAAATTCATGAAAATTCATGAGGTTAGAAAAGAGGTTAGAAAAGAGGTTAGATCTAACCTTCTACCCTAAACATGGGCTTTGCCCTTGCCGCTAGCGGCTTATTTTTGGGTCATTTACGCTCATTACGAAGAAGTCTGAAGGAAATTTACGAAGAAATCATGAAAGTCCTGAGCTCCAAAAGAGCAAACAGCATAATTTAAATTTTTATTTTAGTATAAATGAAGATTCTACCATATGGTGTTATTGGAAGAGATAAAGATGGAAACCCAATATTTGATCCAAAGTTAAAATTAAAGTTACTGACAAGACAACAACTTGAAAAGTTGCTGAAACCAAAACAGAATGAAAAATGAGAAAATGAGAAAATGAGAAAGAAAAAAAATTTAAATTATGCAATTTTATTTTTATCATAAATGACCAAATTAATTAAGCCAACTATTTCTAAATTAATGATACCAATGAAATCATTTCATGGAGTACTTATCCCAGGTTCTTCACAATTAGCCGGGGCAAGTGTTGTGACTCAAGGTGGAACATTAGCGAATCCATTCAAATTATTAACTAAAGATGAACTTAATAAAATGATGATAAAATAACTGATAACAAAATTTTATTTCAGTGCTACCATAAAAACAGGTGAAAAAACAGGTGATATCTCACCTAGCCGCTTTGCGGCTCTGACCCTTTGGGTCTCTTCACCTAAATTATGGGCTTCGCCCTTGCGCTAGCGGCTTTTTTAGGTCAAAGCTTCCACGAGAGAAAAGATTCCTCATTCGCTAAGGATTCCAAAAATGAAAAAATCATTGATTTTGGCTGAGAAAAAACAGCAAAACCCTTCTTCCACGGGAACAAAGAAATAAAGAAGAAATAAAGAAGAAATAAAGAAGAAATAAAGTAAATTTTTTATTTATTTCCGTGGAAGATAGAGCACTTTTATGACACTTTTTATTCACGACAAACAAGACAAACAAAGAAAATAAGAAAATACGGCGCTGTCGCGGTTCGAACCACAGACCTTGACCCCTCCATAACACCACCTTAGACCACTGTGCTACGTAGCCTGTCGACATAAGATTTTATAAATTGCATATTTGACGTAAATTTATTTCCCAGTTATTCAAAAATAATTAATTATTGAATAAGCTAAAAACATGAGACTTTGTCTCCGGACTCTTTGAGTCACTTCACGATAAAATAAGTGATAACAAATTTTTATTTTTATCATAAATGAATACCCCACAAGCTCAAAATTTACCACGAATCATAACAAGGGAGGAAATGATAAAAATGATGCAAGAACATGTTAAAAATAACAAACCACTAAAATTGAGAAAATGCGGTTATGCAGTAATGATGGAAAGAGAGATGTTGTCGAAGAGGAATAAAAATTAAATTTGGATAGAGTTTAAAAATTCATCTTTATTAAATTCATCTCTTCCAATCAATTTATTTATTCTATTAAATTCTTTTATTTTTGCTTCACTCAGTTTAAGGATTGAACGATAAGTTTCTAATTTTTCGATTATTTCTTTCCTCTCTTTATCGTTTTCAACCCCACCACATTGTGGCTTCTTTTTGTAATAACATATTTTTGATTTAATTCTGTTTAGTTTCTTTTTATATTCATCGTCTGGACTCTGAATCTTAATTGAATCAGGACTCTTGGCTGCTTTGTTGTCACTCATTTCTTACGAAATAAAAAAAATTAAATATTATTTAAATATAATGGAGTAATAAAATAAATCGGAATTTCTATTAATTTATCGCCAACTTCAACTAATGCATTGCCGTTAATATATCTAACAAATTCAGCTATTGTGTCAAATCTTCGTCTTCTTTTTGTCATTAATTTATTAGTTTTTCCATAATCGAGATGAATCAAAACTTTATCCCCTTGTTTAAAATTCATGAGCCCCGAATTAATTTGTTCACGTTTAACATCATTTAACCTTTCCATTTGCTTTCTAATATATTCCCATTCTTTTGAAATATCATTTTTCATTTCCACTGGTTTCATGTTTATAGTTCTATGCCATGTATTATTGTAATAATATACTAACTGCTGTATGATGGAGTCATGATTTCCATCCCAGTATATCTGACCGTTAACCCCTAACGCATCTCTAAGAGTTCTCATTACCGCATCAATTATTTTATTATGAAACGTATATGGAGAGGATGAAAAGTAAAAATTAATTTGTGGGAAATAATGAGTCATAGTTGCCTGAAATCCTTTATCGCCATCACCCCGGATATTATCTACTCTTTCATGATCTAGTAAGTATTGAATAGCTCTTCTTGTTTCCTGTTCTGTTTTCCCTTTCACCGGAATGCAATATAAATATCTGGTGTTAATGTTAATGGCAAATAAATAAGTAACTTTTCCTTTTGAATATTCCAGATGATCGATTTCGTATGAATATGGATATGGAGCAAATGAAGGGCGACTGAATTTTTCCTTTAACGGTTGAATTTTCGGGTCAATTGGTTTATTTAATATCTTGAAATCCTTTTTAAAATCTTTTTGCTTCTTTAATGTTTGAAATGGATATAATAAAGTGAATGATGAAGGATTAACTGAAGGAGGAGGAGGTACTGTCGTTGGAGGTTTTGGTGTTGCAAGTGGTTTAATTTTATCTGCTTTGATTTTGGATGATGAAGTTTTAGTTGTTGATTTTCCTTTCATTAATTCTGGATGTATTCTATTCATTTGTTTTAAATATGCTGTATATAAAGGTTTGATATACTTTCCCGCTTCGAGTTTATGTTGAAGGATGAATTCCAAAAGTTGATCTTCATTTAAAAGTCGGGCTGAATATGGTTTAACTAATGAATCATAAATTAAAGCTTGTGCATCATTTATGGTCTGAAGGACCTGGGTGTTTTGCACCTTTAGCTGTTGAACATTTGCTACTTTCTCTTTTGGCTTTTGCGGCTCAGGATTATATAAATTATATAATTCATCAATATCTTCTTCTGTTAATACTTTATTTTTGAAATCTTTCAACTGTTTCAGTTGTGGTTTAGTTTTTCCCTTTTTATAATCATTATTTTTAATTTTGTCTTTAATTTTAGAAATTATTCTATCATGATATTTCAAAACTTCATTTTTATAATATGGATAATAATAATCCATATCATCACCCGTTATATTTTCATCATATTTTTGGAGATATGATTTAAAATCATAATAACTAAGAAAATTTTGATTAAATATTAAATCATCAATTAAAATTATTAAATCTACGTTATCCATTTATATAAAAATAAAATAAATGTTTAAGGGTGCCCACCTCTTTGTCTCTTCTGTGGCATTTCATTAAATAAATGGCATACAACATCCATTTTCACAACATACAGCCTTAGTGTGTGCTCCTGTTAATGCAGTCTTACCGATTGTTAAGCGAGTCATTGACCCGTTTTTAAGTTGTAAATTAATATTTTGACCATCGAAAATAACTTTATCATTTATTATATCCAAATAATTTTTAGGTGTTAATTGTTTATTTTGTCGTAAACTAACTCCTTTCATTTTTTGTGCAATCTTTTTAAAATCACTTCCATCAATTGAACCGTTGAATGAAGTATAACATTTAGGACATAAAGCAACCATGTTATCACCTTGTTTCTCAATTGCTAAACCCAATAACTTCTTCTCATGTGCTTTTTCTTCAGCTTTATTCTTTAATTTAGGTTTAAATTTCTCATCAAAACAGAAGAAATCAAAAGGTGCGAATTTGAAAATGTTTTTATCATAAAATTGTTTATCGGTAACAATTGCTTGAAATGCTTGAGTGTTAGGAAGATTTGGATCGCCAGCGATTGCCCAATAAGATGAATCAGTATCACCTTCAATGAAATGAAAACGATTAACATCCAAGCATTTATACATAAAATCATAAATGAAAACTAAATACCAGTATTTTGCGTTATCTAAAGTAAAAAATGCCTCTTGTAAACATGTATCACATCTATAAAATCTATCTTTGAGCATCACTTGATATGTATCCTCTCCTATTTCTCTTATGTTTTTAAACTTATTTGACATACATGCAACGCGTGCCTTCTGTGCATTCATTATTTTAGTCTTTGCATAATTTTGTGTATTCATTGCATCGTAACCATATGATCCATTAAGTGAAATTTTGCAAAATAAACTTTTTCCTTTATTTCCTTCTAATTCAGCCTTTTGTCTTTCGTTCATAAATTTGTTCGCAAATTCATTAAAACAAGTGTTTTTCGTAAATGTTAAAATTGATTGAATATCATCGATGATAAAATGAAATCTGTCTATTAGATACCAAAGATAATAAGAAGAAAATGGTTGATATTGGTTGTGTGTTGATGCTAATTGAGTTAATTTTCTCTGTTTCTGGTCAACTGGTAGATTGTTTGATTTCATGTAATTATACATAAAACTGCCAATTGTTTTTTCATCTGTGATAATATCTAAGTTTCTTATTATCGGTAAAAAGTTTATGTAATCATTAATGTATTTTTCATCAATGTGACCCTTTACTTCAGCCACGAATAAAGTATTTTTCTTCTTAATTATTCCCAGTGCTTTTGCTTTCTTTGTTGCTGTATCACAAATGATAACACCATTCAATCTTCCTGGCATATACATTTTATGGTCAGTATATTGAATGAAATCATGAGGATTAGATGAAAATGATGAAGGATATAATGAATTAAAGTCAACTCCAACGAAATGAGTCATAATGTTGGTGGTGTCCTCATTTGATACAGTTTTAGTTTCTGGATTATATGAAAGTTTATTAATGTGCGTGATTCCTTTAAGATTAACACGATGTTGAACATTTGATAAACCACCAGTAATTCCATTACGGAGAATGTGATAAGCTTCAACTGAATCTAAAGTCATTGGTAAATTATTTTTTAATGCATAATTTCTTAAATTGATTCTTAAACGTTGAACATCTTCATCTTTATTTGATTTTACGACATTGCAATAACAACACATTAACTGACAATTTTCTTTGGTATGTGGTTTTTCATTATCGATTCTATCCAATGTTGGTTTATTTGCATATGTAAACGCTTTACCACACATTTTGCATTTAGATGAAAGGATTAAATCGTGATAGTATTGAAAATCATCCATTGAAACATTATTTTTAGTATCCCTTTCTGCTTTTTCATCTTGTTTCTTATATGATTCAATTTTATATTTCCAATACTTTTTCGTTAATTCAAAACTTGATTCTATCTCTTCCTCAGGATATTTTTCATTAGGATTAAAGTCTTTATATGCTAAAGCGTAACGAATCATTGAAGCATTCGATGATAAAGAAAGATTATGAAGCATGTCAATTTTATAAACAAATGTTTCTTCAATAATTTTATCAATTGGGTCAATCATAATTTCAACATCTTTATTGCAATAATGAATAAAATATTCTAATCTATTCTTAAAATTTTTAGCATCATTGAGATATATTTGATAATCACTATCTGATATAGTTTCTTGGGTTAATGCTGAATAAAATGAATCTTGAGTGAATGGTTCCACTTTATATAATTCTTCTTCGTAATTCTCCCATGTGATGAATTGATAAGGGAAAAAGGATTTAACACGTGATTTATTGTTTCCGAAATCTTGAGTGAATTGGTCTAATGTCCCACCCGCTATATAATTTCTGATGTCAATAAATCTCAATTCATATGGAACGTTTGTTTTCTTTACAATAATTTGCTTAAATTGTGAAGATGAACCCAGCATTGATTTTATTTTCCATTTTGCAGTGTTTAAATCACGAAGAATTAAATTTAAATCAAACTTTCCCGAATTAAAACCTATGATATTCACTTTATTGAATTCCTCATCTAGAAGTTCTTTAAATGCTTCCTTCTGTTTTTCATTTAATGTATGAGACTTCATTAATTCTTCATATTGTTCAATATTTGATTTAGCAACTAATGAACAGGTTGAAAATAAAAACTCAATCCAATCAGAAATAAAAGAATCACTTGAAGTTAAGCAAAAATTCCTCGTATATGTTTTATCATTTAATTTAACCGTTGATGATACCATGAATGGTTTTAAGTAAGCGTTCAAAGTTGCACACTCAGAAAGTTGTAATTCTTCTTTAGTCTCTAATGTTTCGAAGTCAAAAGTAATATAATATCTTGTCGGTTGATAATATTCCTGCAAATTGTGAGCTAATAACCACTGATATATCTTCTGTTTCGTAATATGTGGTGCATATGGTTGCTGTGTCTTTTGCAACTGAACGTCTTGAATTAATCTTCCATTATTTTCTTTACATTTCTCACAATGCTTTAAAAATCTTCTTTGGTTTTTCCTTTCTGGATCATCACGGATAGAATAAACTTCTTCTTTACAATATGGACAAACTCTATAGCCGGTGAGTGCTTCAACGTCTGTTATTCTGTCAGCGTGAAGTTTTCCACATGGACTCTGTGTTAATAAAATATTTACTGTTTCAAATTCTGGATCTATCATTATTGAATCCACTAATGGAAAGTCTACCTTATTTATGTCCACGTCTTCTGGTTGAGGATCACAATAATAGAAATCAATATTAACATTTAACATTCTCGCTAATCTCTCACTTTCTGATGAAATGTCAAACCCTTCATATGAATCTATTGCTTCATTTAAATAACTTCTACGAGTTTTAGGATTAACACCATCAGGAATGTTATAGAAGCGTTTAAATAACCTTCTACCTTCTGCTCTAATTTGATTATCATTCATTTTAGCGGTTCCGTTTTTGTTCATTTATGTAAGAATAAAAAATTAAAAAATAAATAAAAATAAAGTTTATTTTTTAAAGTCCATAAAATGAATTAAGAACACATAAATTTTTATCATCTGCGACGTGACGAATACATTTTAATTTACTCAAGAATGCGTACCCTGATACATTAAATCTAATTCCTGTCTTATTTAATTTCACAACTTTGAAAAGGAATGTATGAATAGCTATAAAATGATGAGAAGATGTTTTATGGGTTGCTTCCATTTTTTCTGAAATAAATGAATAAATATAATGCTTATACGTTTTCATATCTTTTATATTCTTAATAACGAATGGTATAGACTTTTCAACTTCATCTTCCTTCGGTGCTGTTCTTTCATATGAAACATTATTGGTATCTTCAACAATGAAACCACAATCACACAAAATTTTATATGTACCAATTGTTTCTTTTGATATTTTATCTAACAAATCAAAAACTTTATCAACACCTGTACATTTATTTAAATAATAATTTGTGTAAATATCATGGTCTTCTTTCTTAATCGTATTTGTTGCATATGTTACATTTTTCAGTGCTTTTTTGAATTTTTCAGAATCAAGAGGAGGTGAAAGTAATATACATGGATAATCTCCATCGTCAATAAATTGTAACTTATGTTTATGAATAAATTTAGTACCTTCTTCTGAAAGTGTTTCGTCTATTTCACCATCTAATAAATTTTGTGTTGATTCTGAGACATAATTTTTATATATTTCTTCATGAGATTTTTGAACTGCTGATTCTGAAGCTGGGATATTCATTAAACCCTCTACTTCATTTTCATTATATTTTTCAACTTCTCTTAATTCCTTAATTTTTTCATCTATTTCATCTCTTATTTTTTCCAGTCTTTCAATTTCATCATATTCATCATCTTTAATCCGTTCTTCATAATATTCAGGGAAAACATCATGTTCTTTAGGTTTTTCTTCTTCAGATGTGGGATATAAGAAATTTATAACATCATCTTTATTCATTTTTCCATCATAACCAAACTCATTTAAAAACTCCGCGAATTTTTGACAATTTCTTAAATAATATTTACTAACCTCATAACCCGCCTCCTCTAATATATCCATTATTTCCTCGTTTGTGAATCCTAATTTTTTCACGTCGTTAGTTTTGACACTCATTTCATACAAAATAAAAATAAATTATTCAAAAATGTAAGACATGAATTTTTAAAGTTTATTTTTTAAAAATTTTTTTATTTCATTATGGTAGTGAATCTTTCATTCATGAAAATAATTATTTCTAATTTCTTTTACTCTCTCATACATACTAGATTTAAAGAATTCAGAACATTTCCCATAATCTCCTAAATGTTTTCTTATCTTATTGGTTTTCCATTCATTATATGAAACTGAATAAACTTTATCTTTATCTTTACACCTTTCATCACTTCCAATATATTTATATCTCAGTTTTGATTTAGCATTTTCATATTCATTAGCGTTTAATAATTCACAGTCTTCCTTTTTAAATTGATGTTTAAGATATTCAGGATTAACAATTCTATAATATTGCTTCCCTTTAAATCTTTGAATATAAACCGGAACACCATCCTCTAAAATTCGATAATCTATTTTATCTGGTTTTACTTGTTGGGTCATTTATGTAAGAATAAAAAATAAATTATTTTAAAATTAATATGTTAAAAAATGATACAAAATCGCTCGATATTGTATGAATTCTTACGTTTACAAAAAAAGTCACAAAACCCGTCATATCCTACTACTGACCGAAAATGGTCAAAATTAGCTTGTGAAAATAGTAAATTGAGCATGCTAATTTCACTTAGATTTAAATGGGGAAAATAATGTGCACCGATATGAGCTGAAAATTTAAATTTCACAATGTTGGCTGCTTCTTTGTTATATTTAACCAATTCGATAAAGATGACAGCATCAACATATTCATCTATTATCAACAACACGCGTAATATATCAGTTTTCTTGGAAATTTGGGATCCTTGGTGCCCACATTGCAAAAAATTTAAAGAAGACTGGTACAAAATCAAGAATGACACGCAGTTTTTCGATAAAGTTATAATAACAGATCTTAATTGCAATTCAGAAAAGGCATTATGTAAATTATTCCCAGGAAGTGAGACACCAAGATTTTACTGGATAGAAAATTCCAATTCTAAGCCAGTTAGATACTCTCAAGCAGTGACATATCATGAAATCATGAATTTTATTAACAAAAATCTTTATGAACAAATAAATATATTGAATCCACATAAAATACATAATGTTCCTCAAGAAATTCGTCGTATTATTCAAGGAGATCCTTACAAACAACATTTAATTTTCAATGTTTCAAATAACGATGTATCTTCATTTAGTATAGCTAGGAACGCAATCAAATCTCACAAACATCTTCCTATTAACTTTTTACTTGTAAATGATACATCATATCATTATCCGATTCTTTATGCAGATGTAAATGGATTTCCATATATTTTTAGGGGTTCATTTAACGAACATGAGCTATCTAACTTCATCAGAACCAAGTCAATTCCATTTCTTTCTGTTTTTACCGATAATACTTATTATTATTCTCAAATTAACAAAATTGATGTTGCTGTCTTTATTTTCCCAACTTCCAAATTCGAAAACATATATGGATACGCGAATTATACATATAAAGAGTACATAACGACACAAACAACTTGTTCTTTCGTTCCAAGGTTTTGCCGCTACATTCATGAGAATCCAACCTCACCAATATTAGTTATATATAGCAAACGAAAGAATCTGTTTTATATTTATCGATCTCCTTTCACTCAAAAAGGAATTCAGAATTTTCTTGAAAATATTCGAACTGGAAAGGATAGAGGATATGGTCCAGGAACTGGTATTTATGGATTAATATTCGAAACATACTATAATTACAGAGAACTTGGAGGATTTGCATTTTATATGATGCATCTCCCGATTGTTTGCTTTTTCTTCTTTGTTATTTGCATTACATATGCAATAATAGACACAGTTAGGTATAATATCCAATATAAAAGACTCGAAAAAGAAAGAAAATTGGATTAATTTTATGTTTGAATAAAGAATCCTCTATCTATAATACGAAATTATTATTTACACATACTTTAATGCGACATTAACTTGATTGAATGATCAGAACAATAATCTGAAAAGAAATCAAAATTAATGAAGTACCATTAAGATATAATTAGAACTTGGTAGGTTATTTGATCTTATGTGCAAATGCTTCACATTTTCATATTGTCATAACATCAGTATTCTATAATGTTGATAAGATTATTGTAAATTTCGGACAAATATGAAATTTCTAGTATGTTCATCCAGTAAAGATACACTATGTTATCATGGAACTACAAAAGTATTTAATAGAAATCTCTTCATTTATGAGAATTTGGAATTTGTAACCAATTATTAAATTTTTTCATGATTGGTTTAGCGAAAAATATAATTTTATATCAGTTTTCCATGGGCGCATCGTATTTTATCAGTTATGACCAAAATCAATATGTATCCGGTTATTACGCTTCACGCCAATAATATTAATAAAAATTGGATAAATTTCAGAGTAAGAATCGAAATATTTTGAAAATTCTAACTAGCTATATAATAAGGTCGATAAAAAATTGAGCGTTTTTAAAAAACCGCCGTTTGAGAGGAAAATTGAGAGCCCCGATGTATACTTTTTGACATTGTCAAAAACTTTGAAAGGACTAAAAAATTTTAGTGTCAGAAAGTTTACAAATGTATACTTTCTGACAAACAGACTCTCAGAAAGTACTCAAACTGCGGTTTTTAATTTCCGCACTTTTTTTGGCGACCTTATACATAAAAATGAAAAATGGCTGGTCTCTTTTCACAATGAAAATTTTCTTTTCAAAGAAAAAAAATTTTTTTGAGATCAAATAAAGTTGTATGAGCCTTCCACGGCAGTTTGATCGAAATGGTCGAATCCATCAATCCGGCAGCCGTGGCTCATTACAAAATAATGGGCGTCCTCAAGATTCTTTGAATTTAGTCAGAACTTTCAACTTTAGCGTATTTTATCGAGAAATTAAGGCCTCGCTTGACTTAAAAGACCAAATTATTACTATAACACATGACCAGAGCTATCCATATCGTGTTGCACAGATAGCTTCCCAAACTTTTCATACAGTTTTCTACATTGTTGCAAATTCTCTCAGAAGGAAATCGCTAGAAAACAAAATACAAGCTGTAGTTATGACAATCAAGCAAACAGCACAGTTTCTTTCACAAATTCCTAATAATTCGTGTATTATTATCGATTCTTTGTGGGATATAAATAAAGACATAACTGGACCTCAATTAGAACAAATTATTCTCATATTATCTAAGCGATGCCAGTTTATTTACAATTCAATGCCTTTTGCAAATTTACAGACGATATCTCAATGGATTTTCTCTTTTTGCGGCTTAGCACCCAAAATCATTGAAGCTCCCATTGAAAGAAATGCCGTCGCACACTTTATTTTCTCAGAAAATCCATTTCAAAATAGATTATTTAGAAATACCTCGATTTTCATAGATATGCTTACCGTTTCGGAGATACTGGATCAATGCACACCTAACATGATATCAAATGATGGAATTTTCCAAGAAATTTGTGATATCAAAAAATTAAACTTAGATCCAATACTTGTAGTGTTTCCATCGAATGGACACCTCAGATCTTTCGCAAAGGAACATCCAGAATATCAAACAATCTACGATTCATATGATTTGAATCAAATGACTGAACAAATTGAAAAATTTCAATCAACATCAAACGGAATTTTACTTACAACAACCAAAGTTGCTGATTCTATCTATATACCAGCAAAATCCGTTGTTTTGACGTCATTATTAAAATTTGATGGTCACATGATGAAAACTATGACTCCGTGCGAAGTCCATCAGATTGTAAGATGCGCAGGACGACCAGGAATCGATCCAAGAGGCTATTTTTATACAACATTACATCCAGGAATGTCAAAGTTTGATATTTCGAGTATTTTTAGTACAGATCTTCCTGTTATCTCAAGTAGATTCAAAATTACTGAAGAGTTCTTCCTTACAGCCATTTTTTCAGGAGTTGCAGATTTTGAAAATTATTTGTGTTGTTTACTTGGTAGTTTTACTGTAGCAACACGTGGACCATTGCTACAAGACCAAATAAACCAAATAAGTAGTCAGATGCCTCCTGATTCGATTGTAGAAAAAGTAATTCATCTCATGTCCCTTGAAACATCCATTTGTACGTTGGAGACACATCCTCTCAATATCAAACCACTTCTCGTTAACGGCCGAGTTGTCCGCGCCCGTTCCATGCTCGGTGACCATGCTTGGTCGATCTGTTTTGGCGGAACTGTTTGTGGTACAGTCACTCTGGCGATGCGAGGAGTTCCATCTCGTGGTCGTACAATTGACAACGACGAGAAATGTCTGATAACTTTGCCTGTTCATGAAATTGTCGCGATATCTAAGACAATTAACCCTTTGAGTCGACAACAGCTGACTCAAATTGACGACAATGATGCCCTTATCGGAAAAGATTACGAGTATTATGACGGAGAACTCACTTACGCCAATGAAAAATATCATATGTTATTAAATGAGATGCAACAGATCAAATCGACCCTTGAACCCAATCTTTTGCAGTGTTGGAGACAACTTGCAGAGGTCTGCATCCGCCACAAACTCCTCAAACAGAAAATGAAACAAATAAATCTGCAACAACCTTTGTCAGATCTTTCAAAGATACGTGATTCTGATTATCACATTGGGCTGTTCCCAGGTGCATCGGACATGGCCGCTCAAAAAGCTTTTGTTGTTAGGTCATCCGGAGTTTTTTCATGTTACGCGCTTGAAAACGCAATAGAGAACAAATTCTGGGAGAAACTAAGTGATAAAGAATCAGCAGCTTTCATTATTCTGTGCATTGGAGGAGAGAAATATGATGAATACGCTGGATATATACCAGAATGCGTTAATTCATACATGACGCAGAGTGGAAAGGATTCATCATTCTTCCTAAATGCACTGGCTCTTCTTGACGAAGAAAATGAAACAAATTTGCTCGATACAAAAGCTTTTGAAATGGCATGTCTACTTAAAAAGGCCAGGAAGTCTGCTAATGCACTGTTTAAAGCAGCAAATCAACTGAATATACCACGGTTTTCACAGAAGATGTCTAATGTTGTTGAAATCATCAAAAATTCTTCATTGTATCGTGAATTTTTTTGAATAAATTTTGTTTTTTTTATTTTTTACTCCAATAATATTATTAAAAATGAGGATTATTTTTCGAAATTTGATAAGAAGCAATGTTTGCATGTTCCTCACCTGGAGTGAGATTCCAAATCTTACATTGAGCTACAAGAAGATGTTGTAAAGGTTAAGAGTTTTAAAACATTTACCCTACTTTTCCAACATTTAGAAAACATGCATGACCCCCTACCCAGGGTCCAAAAATTGGTATTTTCTGCGCTCAGGCAACATGAGTTTTTGGGCCGCCAAATGAATAGCTCAAATAGTTTCCTCATATAGAGACATGCTTATGCTTAGAGTTTGAAGGGAATTTAAAGTGATTTTTTTCTGCATTTCGAAATCTAATGCAATCTTAAAATCATGATTAAACTGCGAATCTGGGCGCAATTTTTTAATATGTTAATATATGAAGGTACTCCTACTACTGCGAATGCTTCAAATGAAAATTCAAGAAATCAGATTAATTTGATCACATTAGTATAGTAGTGGTCAATCCAAAAACTCATATGTTGATATATAACCTATAGAGATGATAATTATCGACTCTTCATTGAAATGCATAAGATTTAATAATCTCATAAATATTCTTTTTAATTTTCAGTATTTCGTGTGCATTTAGATTGCATATACCTGTATATGATATTTCTAGAATGTTTTGGTTAGATATTAAGTTTTTTAGATTAATATTTTAACATTTTGATAAAACAAGCAATTGTTCCATTTTGGAATCGCGATTGAACTCTAGTTTGACTAATATGATGTTGTATGATCAAATAAATTCTAACTTCATGAGATAAATTTTTGAAATTAGAAAATGCGATATCTGACTCAAATATTTATCTGAGCACATTTAACATTCAATTATAAACTAAAGTAATATACAGCAGATTCGATTTGGCTTATATTTTAAATATTCAACAAATAATCTTATAAAATTGTGCTATTCATGTTTCTCAAAGATGAATTAAGCATTTACAACTTGTGCATTGATGGAATTAGATATGGATTCTAATGTTAATCGATATTTTGTAAATTGATATATATTTTATCATGGTTTGACATTTGATCGTGTTGAAACCGGAATTGCAATATGCATCATCTATATATATAATTGTCAAAATATGAGCTATAGATTTTTAAATTATGCTCCTGATTATGAGTGACTTATATGATTATATTGAATTGAGTAGTAAGAATCATAAATATTAGAATATTACGATAATGTATTATAACCTTATAGAAGCTTAAGGCTAAAAATGATGATGAAAATGTAGCTCAAATTTAAGTCTAAAAATTTGAAAATTAAGTGCTTATGATAGTATGACGATATTGGTGTTTGAATGTAAGAATTAGAGATGTATTAGAAGCATTATGAGAAAATAATAAGATATAAAAACAAATTTTATGAAATAATTTTAAGTTATAAGAGGTGTTAACATTGGTAATGTGTGAATAAGATAGTAGAATTGTATTGGATCTTTGATTAGTATTTTATAACAATTTATTAATGTAGATGTGATTAGAATGTTGGATTTCAAAGGAGAAAGCGGATTGTTCACTCTTGTTGGTCTGCATGTGTCATTCCGGGAGACATTGCCTGTGCATGTCTCCCAGAATGGCATACTGTTCCGCATTCATAACTTGAATGCGGAACTTTGACCGACAAGAGTGCATTGTGCACTCTTGTTGGTCTGCATGTGTCATTCCGGGAGACATTGCCTGTGCATGTCTCCAGAATGGCATTTATTGCAATCAGAATACGATTGCAAAACTTTGACCGACAAGAGTGCATTGTGCACTCTTGTTGGTCTGCATGTGTCATTCCGGGAGACATTGCCTGTGCATGTCTCCCAGAATGATACTTTATTGCAATCAGAATACGATTGCAACTTTGACCGACAAGAGTGCATTGTGCACTCTTGTTGGTCTGCATGTGTCATTCCGGGAGACATTGCCTGTGCATGTCTCCCAGAATGAACAATTTATTGCAATCAGAATACGATTGCAAAACTTTGACCGACAAGAGTGCATTGTGCACTCTTGTTGGTCTGCATGTGTCATTCCGGGAGACATTGCCTGTGCATGTCTCCCAGAATGGCATACTGTTCCGCATTCATAACTTGAATGCGGAACTTTGACCGACAAGAGTGCATTGTGCACTCTTGTTGGTCTGCATGTGTCATTCCGGGAGACATTGCCTGTGCATGTCTCCCAGAATGAACAATTTATTGCAATCAGAATACGATTGCAAAACTTTGACCGACAAGAGTGCATTGTGCACTCTTGTTGGTCTGCATGTGTCATTCCGGGAGACATTGCCTGTGCATGTCTCCCAGAATGAACTTTATTGCAATCAGAATACGATTGCAAAACTTTGACCGACAAGAGTGCATTGTGCACTCTTGTTGGTCTGCATGTGTCATTCCGGGAGACATTGCCTGTGCATGTCTCCCAGAATGAACAATTTATTGCAATCAGAATACGATTGCAAAACTTTGACCGACAAGAGTGCATTGTGCACTCTTGTTGGTCTGCATGTGTCATTCCGGGAGACATTGCCTGTGCATGTCTCCCAGAATGGCATACTGTTCCGCATTCATAACTTGAATGCGGAACTTTGACCGACAAGAGTGCATTGTGCACTCTTGTTGGTCTGCATGTGTCATTCCGGGAGACATTGCCTGTGCATGTCTCCCAGAATGAACTTTATTGCAATCAGAATACGATTGCAACTTTGACCGACAAGAGTGCATTGTGCACTCTTGTTGGTCTGCATGTGTCATTCCGGGAGACATTGCCTGTGCATGTCTCCCAGAATGGCATACTGTTCCGCATTCATAACTTGAATGCGGAACTTTGACCGACAAGAGTGCATTGTGCACTCTTGTTGGTCTGCATGTGTCATTCCGGGAGACATTGCCTGTGCATGTCTCCCAGAATGAACATTTATTGCAATCAGAATACGATTGCAAAACTTTGACCGACAAGAGTGCATTGTGCACTCTTGTTGGTCTGCATGTGTCATTCCGGGAGACATTGCCTGTGCATGTCTCCCAGAATGAACAATTTATTGCATCAGAATACGATTGCAAAACTTTGACCGACAAGAGTGCATTGTGCACTCTTGTTGGTCTGCATGTGTCATTCCGGGAGACATTGCCTGTGCATGTCTCCCAGAATGAAACAATTTATTGCAATCAGAATACGATTGCAAAACTTTGACCGACAAGAGTGCATTGTGCACTCTTGTTGGTCTGCATGTGTCATTCCGGGAGACATTGCCTGTGCATGTCTCCCAGAATGGCATACTGTTCCGCATTCATAACTTGAATGCGGAACTTTGACCGACAAGAGTGCATTGTGCACTCTTGTTGGTCTGCATGTGTCATTCCGGGAGACATTGCCTGTGCATGTCTCCCAGAATGAACAATTTATTGCAATCAGAATACGATTGCAAAACTTTGACCGACAAGAGTGCATTGTGCACTCTTGTTGGTCTGCATGTGTCATTCCGGGAGACATTGCCTGTGCATGTCTCCCAGAATGAACAATTTATTGCAATCAGAATACGATTGAACTTTGACCGACAAGAGTGCATTGTGCACTCTTGTTGGTCTGCATGTGTCATTCCGGGAGACATTGCCTGTGCATGTCTCCCAGAATGAAACAATTTATTGCAATCAGAATACGATTGCAAAACTTTGACCGACAAGAGTGCATTGTGCACTCTTGTTGGTCTGCATGTGTCATTCCGGGAGACATTGCCTGTGCATGTCTCCCAGAATGGCATACTGTTCCGCATTCATAACTTGAATGCGGAACTTTGACCGACAAGAGTGCATTGTGCACTCTTGTTGGTCTGCATGTGTCATTCCGGGAGACATTGCCTGTGCATGTCTCCCAGAATGAGACAATTTATTGCAATCAGAATACGATTGCAAAACTTTGACCGACAAGAGTGCATTGTGCACTCTTGTTGGTCTGCATGTGTCATTCCGGGAGACATTGCCTGTGCATGTCTCCCAGAATGGCATTTATTGCAATTCAGAATACGATTGCAACTTTGACCGACAAGAGTGCATTGTGCACTCTTGTTGGTCTGCATGTGTCATTCCGGGAGACATTGCCTGTGCATGTCTCCCAGAATGAGACAATTTATTGCAATCAGAATACGATTGCAAAACTTTGACCGACAAGAGTGCATTGTGCACTCTTGTTGGTCTGCATGTGTCATTCCGGGAGACATTGCCTGTGCATGTCTCCCAGAATGGCATACTGTTCCGCATTCATAACTTGAATGCGGAACTTTGACCGACAAGAGTGCATTGTGCACTCTTGTTGGTCTGCATGTGTCATTCCGGGAGACATTGCCTGTGCATGTCTCCCAGAATGAACAATTTATTGCAATCAGAATACGATTGCAAAACTTTTGACCGACAAGAGTGCATTGTGCACTCTTGTTGGTCTGCATGTGTCATTCCGGGAGACATTGCCTGTGCATGTCTCCCAGAATGAACAATTTATTGCAATCAGAATACGATTGCAACTTTGACCGACAAGAGTGCATTGTGCACTCTTGTTGGTCTGCATGTGTCATTCCGGGAGACATTGCCTGTGCATGTCTCCCAGAATGAGACAATTTATTGCAATCAGAATACGATTGCAAAACTTTGACCGACAAGCGTGCATTGTGCACTCTTGTTGGTCTGCATGTGTCATTCCGGGAGACATTGCCTGTGCATGTCTCCCAGAATGAACAATTTATTGCAATCAGAATACGATGCAAACTTTGACCGACAAGAGTGCATTGTGCACTCTTGTTGGTCTGCATGTGTCATTCCGGGAGACATTGCCTGTGCATGTCTCCCAGAATGGCATACTGTTCCGCATTCATAACTTGAATGCGGAACTTTGACCGACAAGAGTGCATTGTGCACTCTTGTTGGTCTGCATGTGTCATTCCGGGAGACATTGCC